ACAACCTACCCCCCCTCTGAGATGTTTCTTTTAACTCATCTTCCTCTTTCTTTAATCTTTGTTTCTTTGTCTAAGAGAATTTGTTCACTTTTTCTCATTGTGATAAGAATAGAGTTGTTTAATTTCTGTTTCGTTTTTTCAAAATGTATGATTTAAAGTGACAGTGTGGCTAACTGAGTATTTCAATATCAGCAGGGCACTCACCTCATGAATTAAACAATAATGGGTACTATTCACATCTATTGAAGTGTGTTCTTTGGATATTGTTTCCCTTTCTCACTCTAGTCATCTGGTGTTACTGATTATACCTTTTTTCCTCTCACCTCTTTGTAGATGCTTCTATTAAAAAATCTATTTTTTGCATATTTTCACAATTATCTGGGTATTTTTTGAGACAGTGAGTTGCTTGAGGGCAGAGATCAAATCTTATCATCCAAGAACAGGTCTCTTATTAGATGCTCAATAAATATTTACTGAATGACGGGGTTTGAATGTGTACTCCTATGATCCCAGCACTCAGGAAACTGAGACAGCAAGATTCCTGTGAGTTTGAGACCAGTCTGGGCTACATATTGAGTTCCAGGCCAGACTGAACTGCAAAACAAGACACTGTCTCAAAAAACAAAAATGAACACCAGATATCTGCTGAATGAATCAGTATAACATAGTCATTTGCCCCATGATTACCTCTAAAATTTGATTGCTTGAAATTCTTGATCTGTTTTTTACTGGTACTTGAATCACACTAACCATCAAGCTTGTCCTCTAAGTCTGCTCAAAAATCTAGACCAAATATAATTGAGTGTGGTTGCTGGCACTGGAATATTTTTGCTACCCTTCTTTCATAGCCTCTTTGCAGACCTGTAGAAAATTGAGAATTGATCTCTGATATGACTTCCTTTTCATACCATTCACTGTGTAAGAGTGCTGTCTTCTGAGACACAGTTTACTGCCCAGTTGGTTCTGACTCTTCCTTGTGTCTTCCTTAATCCTTCAGTAGTTAAATTCTCCTGTTACTCTTCATTTGTTCTCTGTGCCTTTTTCAGTCCTTCAATCCGTGGAATAAGTTTTCTAGACATGAGGAAGGCCTGTATTTTGATAACAACTGTTCAGCTCCCTTCCCTAAGGAAGCTGAGTTCTAGAATGTGCCCATCATGTCTTTGACCTTGAACCCCCATTGCCGGCACATGGCCTGACACAAAGACACTGATAACTCAGTGTTGTGAACTCAAAACCGTGGTACTTAGGAAAGCTTCATTCTGTCATGCTTATTGTTCTTCTAGGATTCCATTTTCTTTCTTCTCAATTATAAAGTCAAATTTTGAGCCAGGGAGATAGCTTGGTGGCTTAAGCACCAGTCTGGCAAGTGCAAGGTCCTGAGTTTAATCCCTGCTACCAAAAAAAAAAGGTCAAATTTCTTATGATTATTTCCATACTGGCTAATTTCCAGAGAAAAAAGCAAAACAAACTAAAATGGAAAAAAAAAACAAACTGAAGTTGATATCCACCTGTGTTTGCCTGGTATTCTGGAGATGTAGAATTAAAATTTCCATTTCTCCAAGAACGTTACGAAGTAGGAGGACTAGGGGAGCTCATCCAGGATCCCACTCTTCCTGGAGTGAAATCCTGCCCTGTCACCTAGAGCACTCACCCCATTTACAGTTGTGTACTTGTCTTCCCAACCAAATCCTACTTGAATTTTAGAGCACTGTTTTTGGGCACCATTGGTCTTTGCTGTGGGATCCATTGCACACACCACTGAAATGTAGCTTTCCTGACGTGCTCTTGAGTACAGAACTTCCTCCTAAGTCCACATCCATGAGCTTCAGCTGCTTGGTTGTTTTTCTCTGCATCCATAGTTTGTCTCTGCAAACAGAGGAGTGTTTTTTTACTTTTCTTCCTCTAAGTTCAGAATGAGAAAGAATGGTCCTAATGATGATTTTTAACTTATGTGACATGCTCTCCTGCTGGCAATCTATTTGCCTTTCTAACCTGGGCACAGATGACCGTCTTTCTGCTCTTGGGGCTGTGCTTCCTGAGCAAGCTTGAATTTTGTGTTGCTTAGCAAGTAGGCTTTTTTAAGATCGGTGGAATCATACACACTCACGTCTTTGTCACTTTAGTGCCCAAAGTGCTAAAATCGTACATTATTCACAAAGTGTAAGTGAGAGAGAGAGGAGACTGAGCATGCTGGCAGCAGAAAGGAAAGGGATAAGAAAATCTCTGGAGTTGCAACCTGGGCATTATTACAGATGTACCATAAGTGGTGGGATTTGTTTCTTTTTGTAAATACACCTACCCACCTGATCTTAAAGACAAAAGAGAGTTATAACATAGATACTTACAATTATTGCTTTTGTATTGCCATTTAAGGATGATGAGTCTCTTGGACTACTTTGCCCAAGATTCATATACTTTTATTTCTTCAAGTACTTCTATACCACATAAATACTGGATCAAAATTTAGAATTTTTTTTTTGAGATGGATGAAATTTTATGCAATAGACCTAGAGATAAGAAAAATGTGTCACTTATTGTCATGTACCAGGTGTCTGCCTAGAGGAATGCATGGGCTGAGCTGAGGTGGGTGCAGGTAAGAGGAGACCCCTTCACCTGGCTGGTCACCTAACTAGGAGCCATGAATCCTCTCATGGATTTGCTGTAAGAAATCGAAGCTGTCAAGTGCTTGGTGTCTGAAGTGTGCAGCAGTATCCATACAGACCTGTGAGAGATACTCCCTGAGGGGTGTGCCATGCCATAGGCCCTATGGCAGCCACTTACTGCAAAGTGAACCTCTCCTTGGTATATTTACTTTGGCCTCTGGGTGGATTTGTGGATTGTGGACAGATCTCTAGCAGCAGAACCTGACTTGGGCTTGTTGGTTATAGAATTTCTCTTCTGCAGAGCTAAGATAGCAGGCTAGGAACAACACCAGTTAGAGGATCCACAGGATTTCCAGGGATGCTGGTCAGCTGTGCTTAAACTGAAGCTTGGAACTGTGTAGACAGGAAAAGCAGGATGCGCACAGCCCTTCACTGTGCATGTGTTTTAAGCACAAGCTTGTCCTAAGGGCTTAAATAGAAAATATCTCCGAACAATCCATGGAATGGTAAACAAGCCTACTATTGAAAGAACGAATGAAAAGTTGACAGTGGGATTATTGTGACCCTGAGTGGGTCCATCAGTGAGGTAGAGAAATACAGAAAAGCAGCTAAAAGAACCTGGTAGGACGAATTCAGTGTGTCATTCCTTTCTTCCTTTGTCTTCAGTTTATACCTGGTAATGAACCCATAGAGACTTGGAGAGATAGTTCAAGTTTCCTTTTGGGGTGCGTGTGTGTGTATGTGTGGAGGGGTTATTTACAATTTCAAGGTTTTTCTCAGTTTTGAGTACTATGAATTGGTGGAGACAGCAGGGAAAGAACAAGAGAAGAAGGTTGGTCCCTAGCTCGAAGGCAGGAGGAGGTGGCCTCACAGTCAAGGGGTTGCTGTGTCTTTGTTTTGCTTTTCCAGGAGGCCAGTGGGGTGGATGGTCCTAGTTTCATCAAATATGGCTTTTACAGAATCTTCTGTGTCCCGCCTCGGGGAATCATGCTTTGGAAAATTAAGTGTCCGTCAAATCAGGAGGAGGCTTGTACAGTTTTGCTCCCCTTTCCCCCTTGCTTTCTGAGCAGCTTAAGAAAAGAGCCCTTTGTTTTCTTTTCAAGGAAAGTTACACTGAAATTCTTCTGTGTGGTATTCACAAACCTCATCTGTGTTGCTCATAGGCAGCTGTGGGTTTTGCAGGACAACGCCGAATTCCGAACTTCTGCATTCAAGGCAGGGTGTTGCAAAAAGGTTGAGGACCTTTTCTTTTCTGTTTCCTCATTTTCCATTTTTTTTTTTCTTATTTTACTTTCTCTCTACCATTTTTAGTATAAAGGACACTGGACTGTCCCCCTCCCTCCATCCAGATCGGGTGTCTCTGCCACATGCCAGCGAAGCTCCTCGGGGTTAAGATCTGTGTCTGTCATTTCTGACATTTTCCTCGGATTTGCAGACTTTAAAAATACCTTTCAGAAAACTTGTTTGGAATTTCATTTTAATGGGATTTATGAATAAATCTCCATCTTAATGCTGACTAAGCTTTAAGCAGCCATTCCCAGAGAACACCATTGGACTTTTATATTTTCAAATTTAAATCACTTGACTGTGAAGGCATAAAATGTTTTTGTATTTGTGTGAGTGCTGTGTGACTGAACATTTCTGTTAAAGGCTGATTTTTTAAAAAACTTTGGTTGTTGTAAAAAATTCTAGGCTGCAAAGGAGAAAATATTGCATCACCCTTCTCTTGCCTCGTAGGCTCCCGAATACACTCTTCGGGTTTATTTATCTCACCTACGAGGACGAATATTCTGCGGCAACTTGTTGCCACACTGCAATTTCCTTTCAATGAAGCAGTTTACTTTCTTCCTTTGCTTTGAAATCTTTAACCTCAAAATTTTATTTTTAAATATCATGAGCCCTCAAAGTCAGATGTGAAGAGGGAGTACTTCCTCCCTGCATGGTTTCCCAGATCTGCCTCGTAGAGTGCAAGTGCAGATGAGAGAGGGATCACAGCCATCAGCCTTAAGAAAATACGTAGAACTCCTCAGATGATGATGGCCAAAGGGTGCAGACTTGCAGTTAGAGGAGAAGCAAGCTCTGGGGCTCTAACACACAGAAGGTGACTACCGTTAATAATATCATATGTGCACTTGACGTGTGCTAGCCTCTTAAATGTCCTCACCAAACACCTCAGAATGATAATCTTGAAGGAAATGGATGTGTTAGTTAACCTGCAGCGGTTTCACGGTGTCGACATCTATCAGATCATCATGTTGTACACCTTACATGAGGACATTTTGCATTTGTTCATAATGCCCCAGTAAGACTGAGGGGGAACCCCCAACCCTGAGACCTCTCGAGCGTCAATCTCAACTGCTCTCTGCGCCCCGTGTCATTGTGCCCATCTCTCCACAGACTCGTCCTACTCAGAGCCCCCAGATGTTCAGCAGCAGTTGAACCACTACCAGTCAGCTGCCCTGGCCCGAAATAATAGCCGAGTTAGCCCTGTGCCTCTTTCTGGAGCCACCGCTGGCACGGAGCAGAAAACCGAAGCTGTTCTGCACTGCGAATTCTGTGAATTCTCCTCTGGCTACATCCAGAGCATTAGGCGCCATTATCGAGACAAGCATGGAGGAAAGAAGCTCTTCAAGTGCAAAGACTGCTCCTTTTACACAGGCTTTAAGTAAGTGACATGAAGGGTGACTGAGGAGCAGCAGCTGCTCCTGCTCCACCCCTCGCTGCATTCATCCCATTGCTTTACTAGCTGGAGCTCAAGAAGGGCCAGGCTCGTGTGGGGATGTGGGGGTTGGGTGGGGTCTTCATAGAAGAAGGAAGAGAACTCTGGGATTTGTGGAAGAGATCAAGAGCTATATCGGAACAAATGAGTTTAAAAATCAGAGCAAATGGGCTCCCAAACAGTAGTAAATATCAACAAGGAATTTTCCTGGCCTGCTGCATAGAGAAGTATTTTCCCTTTAGAACACACACACACACACACACACACACACACCATTTTATATGCAATATGTGTTTACTTTGACAGCAAAGTCAGGAGAGTACATCCAGAAGTGCTCACCTCTCTGCTCTTCTTGTGGAAAATTCTTCTTTAAGATTGTAGTATCGAAAAAACCAGATTCAAGACCCCAGCCCTGCAGGCTAGACTTGAGCCATTGTAGACCGATTGCTCCGGTCTAGAAAAAAGATCATCCACATTCACCTTTGCTCCTGTGTAGGACAGCATTGGTGACTGCAGTGAAAAAGTGTGGACATTTGCTGCCGTAGAATCTAAACTTCTGTGACTTAATCATGTCTCATCCTGTGAGACATCATTTATAAGTTAGTGGTTACAGGGGTAAAATGTGGAGCCTGACTGCCAGACTTTGCATCTCGTGCTTGGTGGGTGTGTGACCTTAGAGCTCAGTCACTAAACATCTCTGAGCCTCTGGGGCCTTATCTGGAAAGATATAATAATAGCTACTTCATAGGGCCCTATGGGGAGTAAATGAATCAGTGTATCAGAAGTGCTTAGAATCAACATTGATGAGCACTATATGTTATAGTAGATAGAAAGGTGTTATGACACCGTAACACCAATACTACACTCCACATTTAAAGCAGTTGCTATCTACTCCTGTTGCAATTGGAACTTGAACCTAAGACCATTTCAGTACAGGCTTTGCACAGCCATGAGGCAGAAATCAGACTTCATGTCGCACAAGAAAGATGAATTGAAAGAAGAAAAAACCTTTTCCCAAACATCTTAGTTTCCTGGGCTTTGACAGAAATTGTTAGATCTCTGACTATTAATTTGGTCTAGTTACTTTTCAGTTGAATATGTTTGTAATTTAGAGCAGAGAGCAGGCCAGAGGACACAATGACCAGGCTTACTGCCAACGGACGTGTTTCTCCAGAGAAAAGCACAGGATCCTGATAAGCAGGGATCCTTGTCCATTAAACTCTTGGTTTCACCCATTTTTAGGAGGCATGTAAGGGTTTATAAATACTGAGGATTAAGAAAGCAGGGAGATAGAGTTGACAGAACCTTGAAGCTAGTGCATACTATGTAACCTGAGTTTCACCAGTCATCCCAACTTAAACAACCTGTACTCTTTTTACCCAAGAAGACTCATGTAGGGAGTTCATAAAGCTTTCAAGCCTTAAAGTAGTCGTTCTCAGCCAGGCATGGTGGCACACACCTATAATCCCGGCATTTGGGAGGCAAAAGCAGGAAAATTGAGAGGCCAGCCTGGGCTACAATGTGAGCTCAGGGTCTGCCTGAACTGCATAGCCAGACTCCCATCTCAAAAAACAAGATAAAATAATCCTTCTCTCAGCATGATGAGAAAGATTCCTGTTGGGGACTTTGTTTTCATACCGTTATGGTGTTTAGGGACCATAATATTTTCTAAATCAAACCCTGATCCAACTGGCAAAATTTAAAAATGAAAATTATTACCACCATATTTGTGTTTGATTATTGATTGAGTGACCGAGGAACTTGTGGTCACACACACCACTGATAACTTTCTATCTGGGCGCTCAAGCAGGAAAGTCATACTTGTTGACCTATGGTGGTTTTGCTAGCAAAAGATGTGTGAAAGAAATGACCTCTTGTCAAGCTCACCGCCTGTTTCTTAACATCTCTCCTAGATCTGCTTTTACTATGCACGTGGAAGCTGGCCATTCAGCGGTTCCTGAGGAAGGCCCCAAAGATCTCCGCTGTCCTCTCTGCCTCTATCATACCAAATACAAGCGCAACATGATTGACCACATCGTTCTGCACCGAGGTAATCTTCCTCCTTGTTCCTTTGGGTGCTGGTGGGAGGAATGCGTAGTGGTATTCCAAGTACTGTGCCGAGTCTACGACAGTACCACTTCAGCTCTGTGTTCTTCCAGGTAAGAAACTGTAATGATAAGCACCATGGCAGCCCACAGAATAAGAATACCTCCCTGTTGAAAAGGGATTCCTCCACTTGGAGGGGACAAAGAAAGTGGATTCTGCAGTGAACACCTCCACAGGGGGCACTCTGAATCTTCTGCCATCCACAACCATGTGTAGGTGTACTGAAGGAAGGAAGGAAGGAAAGGAAGGAAGGAAGGAAGGAAGGAAGGAAGGAAGGAAGGAAGGAAGGAAGGAAGGAGAAAATGTGTGGATGAAGGCAACTGTACCATTTGAAGAGCTTCAGTATATTTTGAGAAAGATCAAAATGTCTTCCAAAGCAAAATATGGAAATCTTCCCTTGAAATGGAAAGAGAGAAGCAATTCTTAAAAAATAAAAGTGGGCTGCTACATACAGCAAACCTATAGATTGAGCGTTGAACTGAATTCTGGTTTTGAATCCTACGTTATTTAACCTCGTACTTGTAGAGATGATTATACCCATGACATAGTGGGTAAAAAGTTGATGGATAAACATTGGTTCCCACTGATCAATAGGGAGACTTCTGTTAAGTCCATGTTGGTTCTTGTTGCGTTTCCTCTTGGCCAGGTAGAACATTGCCGAACATGAAGTTGCTTTTGCAATGGAAGAAAAAATATGTTTATATGGGATCAGCTTTGCCCTAAAAAAATTGAAGCTGACGGAGTTAGCGAAAGGTTACTAACACATCCATTGCCAGTTTCACTTTCCACATTCATCTACTGGTCTTTCCCTCTCTTTGTCCCTTCCCTTCCCCCCTCACTTTCTTTCTCTTCCTTCCTGTTGTACTTCCTTGGCTTTTTTTTTTTTTTTTTTTTTTTTTACTTTTAACCTTAGATAGTTTTTCAGCATTTACCACAAAGATCTCAAAAGCAGTAAGTGGCATCTGCTTTCCCACTCAGACGAACCTCACTGTGAAATCTGGGAATGTGGAGGGCAACTATAAAGTATCCCATGTTTGCTCTGAGCCACTGCCTTTGTCCAGTACATTTTGTGACCTCCACATATGTGCCGCAACTTCCACAGAAAGCTCAACATTTAGCATCCTCGGGTGTCCCTCCTCCCTGTTGCACGCTAATGAGACGTGAGATTGTCGCTGGCTGGAATGTCTACCTGCAAGCTGGGGAAAGTGGCGTAGCAACATTTAGGCAGCAATTCTTGGCCTGAGTGGTCCTGCCTGGTGTTCTGCCTCAGTCACCTGGCTTCCGGTCCCCCAGCCCATGTGTTGTAGTGGCTCTGTGCCCTGTCAGCTTGGGTAGAGGCCAGTAGTGGTGGAGCTGCCAAGCAAGCAGAAATGACGAGTCCTCCATTTCTCTGGTTAGTGTCCTTCTTTCCCCTTAGTTCTGCCTGGTGTGCTCAGAGCTTTGGTGCTTAGGAAGCCCAGTGACTCTTCTGAGCTGAGATTTCAGGAAAGAGAAAGAAAAAGATTAAGCACTAAAACCATGACAGTGGGCTGATTACCCACCCAGTTGCTTCAGTTTCCATCACTGTGAGCAGCAACTTTTTTTATGGGTGCAAAACTTGAGGCTGAGAAAGACTTGGATTTTTTGTGGGGTTGTTTTTTTTTTTTTCCTTTTCAGTGTATAGTATTTGTGGTCTATTTCATTTCACAAAAGATTTAAGGCAGCTTAAGGAAATTCCTGCAGAGCTCCAAGATGAAATACAAAGGAAAAAATTAAGGCAAACGAAATGAAAGCAGTGGAAAGCACAACTGCAAGTATGGAAAAGGTTTTCAAGAGTTTGGTGACTTACAGGGCTGATATCTATAGGGAGTGAGCCTCAGATTAGGCTCTGTGTAGTTTGTGTTTTCTCCCTGTTGGCTCCATTGCTGTTAGCATAGAGTTTAAAAAAAGAGATAAGCTAATAACCATAACAATATATTCCACCATGTGAAAGGAAGTTTCTAAAGAATCAGTAAAAGTGAGTTGCAGGGGAAAAAAAAGAGAGAGAAGAAAACCAAGTATTGTTAGGAAATTTTCAGAAATATTAGATACCGAAACCTGAAAGGAATTTCTATAGGCACTTCCAAGAAAAGGACAAGAGTTGCTATAGTATATGTTTTATGTCCCACAAATGTAGTACAGATTGAGTATCCCTTATGCAAAACTCTTGGGACCAAAATTACTTTCAGTTTGGGAATTTTTTTCAGATTTTGAAATATCTACTTAGACTTTACTAATCCAAAAATGCACCAAAATAAAAAAACTTGTTTGAGCATAACTGTTAGTATTGGATTTGGGGTTTCAGATGTTCACATTAGGGGTGCTCAAGAGTTTATTAAGTTCCATAGAGCCAGGAAGAACTGGAGTCACTTACTCAAGTCCCCTAGCTGGTAAGCAGCAAAAGTCCTGAGGCAACCCGTCTTTGATTCCATGTTTCCTCACACTGCTGGTTGTTTATAACTTCTGTTTACTTACAGAGAAAATTGTGCAGGTATCTAAATACTGCCCTTGTGAAAGGTAGAGAGTACCAACTTGAAGTTAATCAGAGCACTTGAAAATTAGTAAAAACATTAGTAACAGCAGCAGTGGGTACTATTAGTGTTGACTAAGTAATAGACATTGGGCTGAGCCATTTATACTATGGCCTGCAGTATTCTCAGAAAGCTCTGTGTGGTAAAGATGAAAGATCAGAAAGGCTGAGCAATTTAGACTTAAGGTCAAATGACTCCTAAAGTAACCTAGCTGGGATCTGAACCCAGGGGGGTCCGATCCACTACCCTTAGTTTGAATGAAAGGCACCACTTTCTCACCCTGGAAGAGGTGGTGTCACCTTGTTTGAGGTTCTAGGGACTGTGCTATCTGGATTTGAGGCCAGAATTATCCATGGCACTGGAGATCAGAGGTGAGGACCACTGACCCAGAGACAGCAAAGAATTCCAGGACAGCTGAATCTGCCATTGATCCCATGCTGCCTTAGGTAGCTATCGTATCCTCTGCGCACAGTGACAGCTCAGTGGGAAGCTGGCCTTCACATCAGGAGACAGGACTGGGTATCTGCCTTACATTTCTGTGGTGGAGCTAAGCTCACAGTGACCAGTTGTTGCTTCTTCTACACCTGTGCCCTTCCAACTCTGAAGAAACATCTTTGGTCTCTAGGGTCTGCAGGATGAGATCTTTCTGAGCTTTTTGTTAATGAAAATACTTGGGATGAAAGACAAGCAAAACAGTTTCTGAGCTGGTCCTGAGACAGTGCTACTGCTGGCAAAAATAATTTCCATCATTTCTTGTCCAAACATATTGATATATTTAGGTAGAGAAAAGGGAAGAGCATCAGTTTCACTCAAAGGGAATCCAAATGAGAAGTAAGCAAAGATTTGGGCTGGCTGTGGTAGAAGAGATGACAGTGTTTGCTCATGCATTCAGCATATGTTCATTGTAGGCTTAGTCCATGCTTCAGTTGGTCATTTGGTCACAGAGGAACCAGGAACTGCCCCCTTGAGGAAATTAGCATGTGCCTAGCACGTCCAGGACGGTGAGTGACATGTGTCTCGGAGTCATGTTTCTGTTCAGATAGAAAGGGGCAGTAAACAAAGGTAGCTTCTAAACTGAGCCATTCATAACAGTACAGTAGTCAGAGAAAACTCAAGCAGGGGCCTGTTTGTTTCCCTAGGCTACCTAATGAATGAGTACCAACAGTGAGGCTTAAAACTATGTGTTCTCCCACAGTTCTGGGGCCTGGAAGTATGAAATCAAGGTGTTGGCAGGACTATGCTCCCTCTGAAGGCAAGAGCAAAGAATGTGTCCTTACCTTTTCTTAGCTTTTGATGGCATCCTGGGCTCCCTGGACCCGTGGCTTATAGCTCCATCACTCCAAACTTTGTCTCCATCTTCCTGTCACCTCATTCCCTGTGTGTCTTTCTGTGCCTTCTCTTTTCAGAGCACCAGTAAGTGAATTTAGGGTGCTCCTTAATCCAGGATAACCTCATTTTAACTAGTTATGTCTGCAAGGGCTCCATGTTCCAGCAAAGGCACATGCTGAAATTTCGTGGATATATATATATATATATATATATATATATATATATATGACACTGTTCAAGCCACTACTTCTGGGAGAAAAGTATTTTAAGAACCGTTGAGGTCAGTGGAAGCAAGACATATTTACAGAATTGTATCACACTCCTCTGGGTGCCAGAGCAGAATACAGGGATACTAGAAAAGTATGTTCTGGCTAAATCATGAAGGGTTGGAAACTAATGTAGACATTGGGCTCAGGAAACAGACAGGAAGCCAGGAAAAGCTTTGATTAGATTGCCAGTGAGACACTTGTTAAACACAGTTTAACGAAAGCTGAAGCAAGGGATTGGTAGACTCATACTTTTCAGGAATTATGGATTTAGGTCAGATCAACATTTGATGAGACTGGCCATGATTTGATGAGTTTAACTAGGAAAAAATTAAGACCTGAGTTTTACATTTCAAAGTCAGTAGTAGAATTTTGGTGGGTTTTCTTCTTTTCTTTGAGCAACATTTGTTGAGCAGTCATTATATGCTATCTGTGTGTGTGTGTGTGTGTGTGTGTGTGTGTGTGTGTGTGTGTGAATGGAAATTGAATCCAAGCTCACGCACGTGCTAACTAGATAACAGTGTTGTAAATACTTGAGGGGTTACAGCCATGAAGGGTCAAGCAAGGTTTGTACACTGAAGGAATTAAATTTTAATAAGGAAAAAGGCAAACACAAGAATAAGTGGTTTCGTGAGCATATTTCTGGTCATTTTATCACATTAAGAGCAAGATGCCTCGTGCACAACCTCATCCGCATGTACCTTGTACCCCTAATAGTAGTCTAAAACTTTGGGCACAGATTGAATTTTAGGGAGTAAACACAGTTTTGCCAAATATTTACATTGCGGTTGCCCTGTCATGTAATCCCTGCTCCTGGTCTCCAGTTGGTGTGTTAACTTCGTGTTTTTGTTTCCTGCCAGGTATGCAAGCGCTGACTGTATCTAACCCTAAGAGGCAGAGGCAGAGGAGGGAAGCTGTCTTCCCTGACTTGTCTAACCACGCCATTTCTCTTTTGAGAAAAATATGTGCAGTGAGACTGCCCATCTTTTTTTAGTAAGATTATATGTTCTCTATCAGCCTCACCAAATGCCTTTTTCTGTTACAAGTACAGGTGCCATGTGGTCCCCTGTCTGTCCAGTTTGAGCACGGCAGCCTAGCTGGTATCACGCTTAGTAATTGTTAGCAATAGCTGCTTGGCTTGTACTTGTACCTATTGATGGTTTTATTTTAGGATGGATAAGAAACTAATAATGCCGTTTTCTTGGTGTAATTATTATTTTTTTTAATTATTCAGCCCTTTCCACTTGGTTGTTAAGAGTAACAGATGGGCCTCTGGTTTGGCCCAGCAGGGGACTCCCTGGGTGGGAATTGGTGCGCTGACTATGCCTAAGTGAAGGACTTCCTCAGCTCTCCTGCTTCTTTTAGACTTGATGTGTTCTTGGGGAAGAAACCACGTATGTTGTGGCTTGCCTCTCTGGAAGCATTTTTCATTGGCGATTGTGGACTCTGCAGTGATGTGGTATTTTGTTCATCTGACAAGACGCGACCCCTCTGTCACTGCGACTCTGCAGGTTTTTCTCCTGAGCTCCACACAACCTGATGGGTATACTTCTCGACTCCCGCAGCACCTGAGGACACAGGTGCTTCAGTGTGGCATTGCTTGGGTCCGGCCTCCCGGGCTTTATGTTCCGCTGCAGCACCAGGCATCTTTTGAGTAAGAGCTGAGAGGCACGATCCATCTCCTAGGCAAACTGGTGAAGTCATAATATTTTTGCAGGCAGTAATGGAAGCTAAGTCACAGTGAGTGTGATTCAGGCCTTGCTGTCCTACCCAAGGTAATTTTGAGAGGTGTGAAGTCAAGAAAGACCCACAGCTGTCACTGCCCCCACAGAAAACAAACCCTCAGCACTGAGCTGCTGTAGCCAAGGCAGGACCTGGAAACATTCCAGTCTTGAGCTTTGTGTCCTTCACTCGCCTGGGTAATGAATAACCTCATTCAGAAAACGCTGCTGGTCATTTGCCCACCTTTCAAAGTTTTTTTTTTTTTTTAAACCTTGGTTATCTTAATGCTGCTTTTAAAAAAAAAAAAAGGTTAACTTTTTTCTGAAATTAATGTCATAGTAAAATTCCCTCCAAATGAGATACTCTAACAGTGATATCTTAGTTTGCAAATGGGAAGTCACATTTCTGAGTAAGTGGGGAAATGACCTTTTAACAGTTCAAGAAGATACCTGGAAGGCACTCTGATGTAAATGTTTACTTTAAAAAGCTATAGCTCTTTCTTATTTTAAAATTTTAGGTATAAAGGCTGAGTATGCTACAGACAGACTGAAAGCTCCTGGGGCATTCTTAGTATGGTACTGGCTGAGGTCGGGTCTGTACTCCCAGATTGCCAGCCTGTGCCAAACTAGAGGAAACATTCAACTGGTCATTTGATTGGTCACTTCACAATTTCTGCATCAACAAACTGAGGAAAATAAAACTTACATTGTGAAGTATTATAAAGCTAAGAAGGCACCAAGAGGTGCAGAACACCTGTGTTTCAAATGTAGCAGGTGCTTAATAAAGCGTAATGTGTATTTATTATTATTATGATTCCATGGGTGTATTCTGAGTGAGTATTCACGACTTTATGTAAAGTTCACTTAGATACACATAATGAAATTGGAAACTGAAAAAAAAAAAAAAAACCTAACCAAAGTAGAGGAACTGAAAAGAAAACCCATAAAAATAGTTTGAGAGCATTATTTACAATGGGAAGTGAAGACAGGGACAGAATGACTGTCTTCAATATGTTTGGGGCTCCATTCCGTGGAAAACTATACCCAACTGGTCTCCATCTCCACTGTGGTCAACAAAACCCAGGCAGGTAGGACAGGTCAGAGCTGAAGAAGGAATGAGAAAGTGGTAGAGATGGCACAGCGTAAATTAGGACCCACAGAGACCAAGGGCAATGGCAGCCTCCAGGAAGGTGCCTGGAGGATCAGCTCCCTGTGAACTCTCCACTCATCGGGCAGCAGGGCCCTGGATTCTCGCTGCCACTCCTGTCTCCTGCCTTGTTGCCCCCTTGCCCATGGGTCCTGCCCAGGACTGCCTTATGCAGAGCAGTGGGAAGTCATCCCCTCACCTTGCTGACAGCAGTGGTTCTCCTCTAGACTGTCTCTTGCCTCCTGAGGGCACATTAGTCTGCAGTTTTGGTTGTCACAAGCAGGCGGGAAAGGCTGGCATCTAAGGGTGGAGATGAGGATGTGGGTGAACATCCTACAATGCACAGATAGCCTCCTAGGACAAAGAGCTGTCCAAGCCCAGCATGGCAGTCACACCGCTGTCAAGAAGCCCCAAGTTATAGTCTATCCACCACAGGTTCCTTAGACTCACTACTTTACACCAAGGCATTTTTTCCCTCTGTTTACACCAAACTGTGGGACTGGATGGTTAGAAGACTGTTCAGTATTTGCTATTCTAAGAAATGTGTGGATTACATTATAATGATGTGTTTCTTAGCTGTCTGCTATACTTTGGTTTAAAAATATTTATATTTCTAAATAAGCAACTGACTCTTTGTATAGGGAAAATAACATATGCATTAGAGCTTCAGGGGGTGTGGTACAGACAGCAACCTCCGCGCTTCCTCTGCCCAGCATTTTGCTAGCCAATTAATCAGGGCATTGAAGGACTCCCAAGGCAGTGACTGCCCTGAAGTTAGATTGTGGTTTCTACTAAGGCATGACATTGGGCGGGAAAATTCCCCAGGGGCCGAACACAGGCCAACAACAAAGGGAGGACTGGAGAAGCCAGTCACATCAGCGCGCAAAATACTGATGTTCTGGGAGCATTGCTGCTCAGCAGTTCTGGGAATAAATCTTGCTTTCTTGACTTAATAATACATTGCTGTTTCTGAATAATATAAGTATATGTTGTGCGCGTCCATTTGTAAACTTTCGGGAGTCTTCTAAATTCCAGACACAGCATGAAAACACACACTATATTTGATCTTGCATAAATAGCACAGATTTTAATTTTATCCCAGTTATGGATATCTGGCGCATGTGCTGATACTCTGGGCAGACTGGTGTGAAATTTAATTTAAGCAGTTAAACAGGAGGGTGAGAAAGTGCAAAATAAACAAGCACACGCATTTCCAGCCCTATAGCATTTGGTACATTAACAGGAAAAGCACCCAAATCACTCTAGTTTCTTCCCATGGTGATAGTCAGATTAAGGATGGTCTGAAAAGGCCAGATCCTCTGTGTCTCCACGGGACCTCTCCTTCCCCCTGGATGTCGCCTGCAGCCATTTCATTTGTGAGCTTGTCACAGTAGGAGTTTTAGTGAAAGAGAGTTTACCGGTTTCTTTGTTTTTCTGATTTGCTGTTAGATTAGAGATTCTCTTGGCTTCAGAATGGAAGAGTCACCTTGGGAAGGAACATCTTGAAAGGAGAAGTGGGAATGGGATTGTAAATACTGACAACAATGGGTCTGCTGTGAGGCAGATCCGGCTCACAACTCAGCTTTGCCAATGACTCTGTGAGCTTTGGAGAATTACTGAAAGATGCTGTTCCTCATTTTACTTATTGTGAAAATAGGAACAAAGCCAGCCTCACAGAGGTGTTGGGAGGGAGGTACTAATAGGATGGTAGCGGGGAGGTCCTGTCTCCTTCCCTTCTCCCAAATCTTATCAGTCCAGCCTCAGTAACATTTGCTAAGGAGAAGAGCATGCTAATGGTTGTTACCAATAGCCATTACTGTTGGTGAAAATGGCAGGCATCCCCACTGCTGTGGCGCCCCAGCACGCCCCCTGAGGAAGTCGGGAGCACCTTTCCGCCAGCCCCACTTTTTATTTATAGGTCATTTTTGGTGTTTAGTATACAGAGCCTCAGTCTTCAAAACACTACTTATACCAGAGAACTATGTGGATTGGGGGTTGAGGCGGGGTAGTGTGCATGTGCGTGCAAACCTCAGACCCAGACCCAGGAGAAGTAGCAAAATTGATGGGGTGAGTTTCTTACATTCCAAAGAAAAGAAAAAAGAAAAAGAACCTCTGCTTGCCATCAGTAAAAATGCCCATCTTTCCATTCAATTTGTCTCCACAGAAGAGCGAGTTGTCCCCATTGAAGTGTGCCGTTCCAAACTATCAAAATACTTGCAGGGAGTAGTTTTCCGCTGTGATAAGTGTACCTTCACCTGCTCCAGTGACGAGAGCCTCCAGCAGCACATAGAAAAGCACAATGAACTGAAACCTTACAAATGCCAGCTCTGCTACTATGAGACCAAGCACACGGAGGAACTGGACAGTCACCTTCGGGATGAGCATAAGGTACTTGCCCAGAACTTCCTGTCTCCCCCCCTCAGCACTCCAGTGGGGAGGAGTCACGTGGAGAGACAGGTGAATTTTGTCATACCTGTGTAGAAGACAGAGACACGAGCTAAAATAATTAAGGTAGTGAGGTTTCTTTTTTAGATAATAAAAGAAAGCTGAGGTCAGCTTTTAGAGAACTGTAAAGCACAAGAGAAAGGGCAAATCGCCCAAATCTAACTGCTTTGACAGTTTTGGTCTCTTTTCAAATTTTCAGTTATTTTACACAATCCTGAGTATACTGTACAGAAAAGTGTTGTATCTTGACTTTTAAAAAAAATCCTGACAAAAATATTTTTCTATATTGTTTTCAATACATTGTCACAAAGATTGACAAATTTCTGTAAAGGCCACAGAGTAAATATTTTAGGTATTACAGGCCATTTGTGTCGTCAGCAATAACTGCCCAAATAAATCTATCACTATAGCAAGAAGGCAGCCAACGCAATGCAGAAATGGATGAGCATGGCTGTGTTCCATTAAAACTTTATTTACAAAATTAACTGGCAGTCTGTGGGCCCATAGTTGCTGGCCCCTATTTGTCTGCTAGGTCACTGTGTCCCTCAGTCAAGTAGGTTGTTTCTAACATCTTACAAACCACAAAGATTTTCAAAGGCGTCATGTGCAAGTATGTTTTACTTAGCAATCATAGTTGATTTTTTTAAAAAATAGGTATGAGGGCCAGGGAGATGGCTCAGTAGAATAAGCGCTTGCCTGGCAAGCACAAGGACCTGAGTTCAATCCCCAGTTCTGCCAAAAAAAGAAAAAAAAGAAAAAAAAAAAAAAAAAGGTAGACATGAAATAGAGGGTTCATGAAAAAAAAAAAAAAATTCTCCTCCAAGATTTTTGAGCAGAGGATCCACTTTATACAGAACAGCGTCTTTACTCTGCACAGGGTTTACCTGGCCTGTCATGGTTTGTGGTTGGAGCTTTTGCCCTAACTACAAGAGGAGCTGTGATTGGTGTTTGCTTGATGAAAATACAGTGGTGCTTCAGTTCACGAACTTCATTCTTTCCGCAGTTCTGGTTGTAAGCTGAATTAGAAGAGAACTGAGTCCGTTAAATGATTAGGTTCGATGTTGACCTTATGGAGAAATTCGGTTCAATTCTCGTCCAGTTTGGCTTGCAACCAGAATCATAGAGAGAATTGAGCTCCTGAACTGAGATACTGCTTTAGTTTATTGAAATCCTTTCTGGTGAGCTGAATCCAAACATCTATTAAGTGCTCACTGAGGTGCAATGAAAAGCCATTTTGATGTGGTTTCCATGTCTTTTGTATCTGCATTAGCAAGAAGGTGGCTCTTCTTTTCTCTCCATACAAACCTAGCTTATAAAGATTTTAGTCTGTGATTCAGTTGGAATTCAGTCTAGATCAGTTGGAATTTCTCTGTGGAGTGTTGAGATGGGATGCTGAGTTTTGTCACTTGTCCACAATTTAAGGGATTTATGTCAACTTTACTGCTTTGGAATGGAATGACTTGCCAGTATCTGCCTAGCACATGAAGCTAGGGAGGAAAGCCTGAATTGTACCACTTAAAAATTTCAATATCTTTTCTAAGTCATGCTTCCTGAGCATTTCTAACACAAACTTAAGGAGAAATCATTTATGTCAGTCACACTTGAGCTTTCTTTACACATATTTAAGTAACCAGCTTTTTATTATAATGTAAAACCTTCAACTGATTATTTTGGGGCAGTTTCTTCTTCCCCAGTTGCTGTCATCCGGGAAGCAGCTTAGAATTCACTGGAGAGATACAGAGTATGTTTAAAAAAAAAAAAAAAAAAAAAAACATAGCACACAGAATCATGGGCTTCCTGAGCACTGGATGGAACAGTGAGGCTAAGGATGTGGGGCAGGGAATTAGTGCGCTCTGCAAAGTCAGGGTGAATTTTCGAACTTTTAGGGACAAAAAAGACGCAGGTTTTAGTGCTGTCTCCATAATTTGTTGTATATGCTTTGGGAAGTAACTTAAATTTGTAGTTCTGTTTGTTTTCTGATTTGTAAGTGGTAATTGCTACACTATTCTCAAAAGCTGTGTATGGTAAGCTGAAGTCCTTGTAGTTCCCATGGTTGAAAACTCAATATCTTCAACAAAATATTTGTGAATTGAGTTGTGCTCCAATCTAATAATAATTGTACTTATTGTAAAGGCACTTATGTTCAAAAAGATCCGGAATATATTATAAAATCACCAATTGTATCTGCATTTTAGACAGTCTTGGTTGTTATATTTTTACCATGTCATATTATTATGTCCTTTTTCTCATGGTTGACTAGTTTATTAATTCTACTGAACACCTAACCAAAGCAAAAGCATATTACCACTTTCAACATACCTAATGATTTCTGTCTTTGCCTTGGTTATTATTAAGTTTGTGAGACATGTGCTTAATTACTGATAACAACACTTTTCTCATTTTCTATTCCTTTTTTTCCTAAATGTTGAGGACAAAGTGCAATTAGACTTTTTGAAATAATTGTTTAGACATTTAATTTGTAAGTAAAGATAGCCATGCTAATAAAACTGAATTTTCAGTTGATAGTCAGTGGCATTATGCACTAATGGGAAATGATAATTCATTAGGACGAACTGCATGCAGAAATTTGATTTAAGCATTCATAAAAGAAGCATGGGGTATCAGTGTACTAAAGAGAAGCTTGCCGACAGTTCACATATAAAAATAAAGGATTTATAAGACAAAAGACAAAGAATTGAAGGTGTAAGAATTAGAAAAGAAGAAATATAAGCTGTTTTATCCACAATGTAATTTTGGCAACTAGAAAATCTTGATGAATCTCAAAGAAGCTGTGAGAACATGAGTGACTTTAGCAAGGTTGCAGCATATAAAATCAACATACAAAAAAATGTAGTTATATATTACTAGTGAACAACCTGAAAATGAATGTGAAATAACATCGAGAAGAGTAATATACTTAATAAATTTAACCCAGGAACTACCAAAAGCAATGAAAAGTATAAACAGTTGCTTAGGAAAATTTATGTTTCCTCACTGGTAGAGTGAGGGCAAGGATCTCCCTCACAGAATAGAGTGAAGGTGCTTAGGGCACAGTGTCCAATACATTATAGCTCATGAGCTGGGAGAGGAGGAGGGGGCTGAGAAGAAGAATGATTCAACTTTGCATTTTAGCTTGAGATGTGACTGAACTGTATAAAATAAAGTGACTCATTAAAAAAAAAAAGAAAATTTATGAAACTAAATTATTACAATATATGCCATGTTCATGGATTATAAATAATTATAAATTATAAATAATTCTTCCTAAACTGATATATAGACCCAACATAAAATCTATCAAAACCTCAGAAAGGTTTTTTTGGTACAAATTGACAGGCTGGTCTTAGAAACTATATGGAAATGCAAAAGATCCATATTAGTCTAAACAAGATAGAGAAAAGAAAAAAATGGAAAGACTCACCCTCTTGTTTTCAAAAGTCGCTATAAAGCTATAGTACTTAAGTGTGTATGGTATTGTCATACACACTTATGTAGATGGAGCATAAGCGAAAGCCTACTGCCATATATGAAGTCAACTGATTTTCATAAAAAGTGGCAAGGCAATAAGAAGCAGTGTTTTTTCAGAACTGATCTTGGAACCATTGGATTTACACATGCAAATGGTGAACCTTGGTACTTACAGCCACTATGCAAAAACCCAATCAAATATATCCTATGTATGAGGTAAAACTTCTCTAAAAATGTGATAGTAAGTTAATGAAAAATTCTCGGATACAAGGCAAAATATATGGACATTAAAAGAAAAACATTTAATGAATTGGATGTCACTAAATTAAACTTTGTTCTTCAAAAGACATCATAATGAAAATGAAAAGACAAGCAATAGATGAGAAGCAAATATTTGCAAGTAATTAGATGAGAGAACTCTGAGCAAAATATACAAAGAATTCTTATAACTCAGTAATGAGATGAACAGTTCAATTAAAAATGAACAAAGATATAAATAGATTCTTTACCAGAGATGCTATACAAATGGAAAATAAAGGCACGAAAAGATGTTAAACATGATTTCCCTACTGGGAAAATAAAAAATTAAAACAGCAATAAGATTTTACTGTTGTGTCCTATTGAATGGCAAAAATCAAGAAAGTACCAAAATGTTGGCAAGAATGTGATGAGACAGACTTCCCATACATTGGCTGCTGGGAGTGTAAAATAGCATAATCAGTTTGTGTTTAGAAATCAAATAGAGCCGGGGAAATATCTCAGTAATACATGCTTGCCTGGCAAGCTCAAGGTCCTGAGTTCAATCCCTGGTACTGGAAAAAAAAAAAAAAAAATCAAACAGTTACTTAGCACCTGACCAGCATCCTACTGCAGTGGGTGACAAGCAGAATGTAGTGTACTATATTCCTCCATTGGAATGTGACCAATCAAGGAAGATCACACTGCGGTGGTATCTGAGTTCACAAACTTGATTCTCTCCATGATTCTGATTGCAAACCAAACTGGATGAAAACTGAGCCAAATTTCGCTTTAAGGTCAACATTGAATTGTATTCAGTTCTTGTCCACCTCGATTTACAACCAGAATTGTGGAAAGAACCAAGTTCGTGAACCAAAATATCACTTACTGACATTTCATAACATGAAGGAATCTCTGATCATGGTAGGTGGACAGATGCCAGACATAAAAGGCTATGCCTCTGTTTACATGAAATTTCTACAGAATTCATAATTAAGAGAAAGAGAAACCAGCTTCATAGTCAGTAGTAAGAATTGATTGCAAAAGATAATGAAGAAACTTCTCAGACTGCTGAAAGTGTGTAAATTCATTAAATATCATTGAGTGGTTCACTTAACAACAGACAAATTTTATGGTAAATAAATATACCTCCATGCCCCAACCCCAGACATGTAATAGGTCTTCAACAAATATTCATTTCTTATGCTCTTTCTCTTAACATGTCAATCCTTGGAACC